ATATCAGAAAAGTTATTGAATTGCCATGCAATTAGTTTTTAAATTAGAACACCAATCTACTGTATCACTTTTGGAGTCTTTCCAGTTCACTTAAAGTACCAGAATATAATGGTTAAATGAACAGAAGCACAGGGTATATTAAACACTTAACATAATAATATTTTATGGCAGACTACAGTAACAGTCTAGAAAAGGATACTCTCTAAATATATTTATTGCTCAGTTTTATAGAAATGATGGGTTCTAGCATGAAAGTATATTTTTCCAACATTTGCATGACTCTATATTCCACTTTTAAAAATTATTTCTGAATCTTACATGAGAATTTACTTTCTTCATGACAGAATCATAGAATCATAGAATAATTTGGGTTGGAAGGGACCTCTAGAGGCCATCTAGCCCAAACCCCCTGCAGTGAGCAGGGACATCTTCAAATAGACCAGGTTGCTCAGAGCCCCATCCAACCTGGCCTTAAATGTTTCCAGGGATGGGGCATCTACCAGCTCTCTGGGAAACCTTTGCCAGAGTATCCACCAGCCCACTGTAAAAAATTTCTTCCTTATATCCAGTCTAAATGTACCCTCTTTTAGTTTAAAACCCTTACCCCTTGTCCTATCACAATAGGCCCTGCTTAAAAAGTTTGTTCCCATCTTTCTTATGAGCCCCCTTTAAGTACTGAAAGGCTGCAATAAGGTGTCCCCAGAGCCTTCTCTTCCCCAGGCTGAACAACCTCAACTCTCTCAGCTTTTCTTCATAGAGAAGTGTTCCATTCCTCTGATAAATTTAATGTTTAACTGCAAGTACAGTGAACTAATTTGCTAACAGCTTAATAATTAAAAAGCAGTAACTAAAAAAAAAAAAAAGCCCTCGTTTTATATTTCTAGGAAGGAAACCTGTACAAATTATAAAGCTTAACAAACCACTATAAAAAATATTTTTACTTGTGCTTTCTTACTCTTTGTTAATCTAAAATGTAATTCTAAGTGGGTTTAATTTCCAAGTCAGACATATAAAGTTTCTCCCTCCTTTTTAAGTTGTTTCAAAAACTTTCCAAAACATCCTGCTCAAACCAATGTTTGGTCCATTTCCTCTCATTATAGTTTGGTGTTTTTTCTAGTCATTAACATAACCTTCCCTATTATTAGATCAAATTCCATGCCACCTTTCCTGGGGTCAGCTGGGATTAGAGTTAATTTTCACAAGAAACTGGTTGGGCTGCCCCAAACCAGCCAGTCCAATG